ACTTCGATATCCTAGGAATGACCAGAAGCCTTGAATTTAGTGATCTTAAGGAACGCGGTGGATTGTAGGGCGAAAGAAGGTCTGTTAAGTACATAGGAGCTAAACCAAAGGCTGTTCTTGTAACATATGAAATATGATCTTCGAAAGACAAGTTGCGGTCTAGTATAACACCCAGGTCTTTTACTGTAGTGGATAAAGTAACAGGACATCCGTCTATATTAAAGTTGTATTGTGAGAGGTTTTGTGAGTAGTTTTTTGGACCAATAAGTAATACCTCCGTTTTATCTGAATTTAATAGCAGGAAATTACGCGTCATCCAGCATTTTATATCTTTGAGACACTCTGTCATTTTAGATGAGTTAGTGTTTTCATCTGGTCGTGATGAAATATATAATTGAGTGTTGTCAGCGTAACAGTGGAAATTAATTCCATGTTTTCTTATAATATTACCAAGTGGCAGCATATATATTGAGAATAGCAGAGGGCCTAAAACCGATCCTTGCGGTACTCCATAGTCTACTGACGTTATCTTTGATTTTTTCCCATTTAAACAGACAAAATGAGAACGGTCCGATAAGTACGATCTAAACCAGCTTAATGCCTGTCCCTGGACACCGGTGAAGTTTTGTAGTCGATCCAAGAGTATTATATGATCTATAGTGTCGAACGCAGCGCTAAGATCAAGTAGGACTAGTATTGAGATACAGCCTTGGTCAGAAGCTAAAAGTAAATCATTTGTAATTTTAACTAGCGCAGTTTCTGTACTATGATGCGGTCTGAATCCTGACTGGAATTTTTCATAGATATCATTTTCTTGCAAAAAAGAGCACAATTGAGCGGACACTACTTTTTCAAGTATTTTGGACATAAATGGAAGATTTGAAATGGGTCTGTAATTTGCCAAGTTATTTGGATCTAATTGCGGTTTCTTAATGAGCGGTTTTATTACTGCCAGCTTGAATATTTTTGGAACATGACCTAAAGATAAAGACGAGTTAATAATATTGAGGAGAGGCTCTTCCACTACAGGTAATAGTTCTTTCAGTAGTTTAGTGGGTATTGGATCTATTAAACATGTTGTTGGTTTAGATGCAATGATAAGTTTATTTAGCTCCTCCTGTCCTATCGTTGTAAAGCGGTGTAGTTGTTCTAGAGGGGCCATAATTGAAGCTGAATCATAAGACACCATAGCGGATTGTACATTTATAATTTTGTTTCGGATGCTTTCTATTTTCGCATTGAAGTAATTCATAAAATCATTACTACTAAACTGTAACGGTATATTTTGCTCTGGTGATGTCTGTTTATTTGTTAGTCTAGCCACGGTGTTAAATAAAAACCTTGGATTATTTTGCTTATTTTCGATTAGTTTGCGGAGATGCTCAGCCCTGGCTGTTTTTAGTGTCTTTTTATAACGTGACATACTGTCTTTCCACGCGATTCTAAAGACCTCTAAATTAGTTTGTTTCCATTTACGCTCTAAGTTGCGAGTTTCTCTCTTGATAGCATGCGTAGCACTGTTGTACCATGGTGCTTTAATTTTCTCTCGAACCTTTTTTAATCTAATTGGCGCAACAATATCTAATGTACTAGTAAGAATGGTGCTTAAACTGCTAGTCATTTCCTCTAACTCATCTGTTTGTTTGGGTTCACTTTGCAGCTTAGATAGATCAGGTAAGCTATTTGAGAATCCATCTATAGTGGTTGGAAGGATTTTTCTGCCTGGTCTATAACGTGGTGCAACATGACATATTTCATCAGTACGTATTATGCAAGTCACCATGTAATGATCAGTGACATCATCGCTTTGCGGTATAATATCTATATCAGTTGGATCGGTTCCATATGATATAATTAAAATCTAGTGTATGATTTAGACGATGAGTGGGACCACTGACGTTTTGTTTGACCCCAAAGGAGTTTAATAAGTCTGTAAACCAGTCAAATATCCATGATCAGTTTGGCATCAGTTTTACGCTTTGCTCCACGCTCATGGAGTCGGCCGCGGCTGATCTGCATGAGCGTCCAGCAAAGCGTCAGCAGCTGCCAGTCTGATCATAACAGCCCCTAAAACATTAATTATACTAATATACTATACTCGCAGATCAGCCGCGGCCGACTCCATGAGCGTTGAGCAAAGTACCAGTAAGCTGCCAGTCTTATCATGGCCATTTGACTGATTAAATTGGGATAACCGTCCCCAAGACATCAATCATAATAAAGAACATAATCATATCAACAGTTATTTCAGTCAAAGTTGCTCTTCTATCAGCTTGAATCAGTCGGCCCATTCTCCTCTGACCTCAACAAGGCATTTTCGGCCATAAGACTACCGCATACTGGATGTTTTTCCCTTTTCACACCATTCTTTGTAAAGCCTAGAAATGGTTGTGCGTGAAAATCCCAGTAACTGAGTAGATTGTGAAATACTCAGACCGGCCCGTCTGGCACCAACAAGCATTCCATTCTCAAAATTGCTTTAATCACCTTTCTTTCCCATTCTGACATTCAGTTTGGAGTTCAGGAGATTGTCTTGACCAGGAGCACACTCCTAAATGCATTGAAGCAACTGCCATGTGATTGGTTGATTAGATAATTGCATTAATGAGAAATTGAACAGGTGTTCCTAATAATTCTTTAGGTGAGTGTATAATCATGATATGGAGGCTCCGGCGCGGTCACTTGTTGCTCATGAACTGGAGTACCTCATCATAAATTAACCGAAACTCAGCGTATGCCTCACAAGCTGCGTTTCCATTACCCTTCAATTTGCGCAAATTGAAATTGCGAAATGAAAATACGCTCAATGGAAACACGTCAATTTCGCAAAAACTCCCGTTTATCGCAAAAAAGTTTTTACACTCTCATGAGGAGGTTTTTCAGGCAATTCGAAAAAGGATTTTTTCGCAAAACTGCATTGGAAACGGATTTTGCGCATTTACAGTCACCTGACTTAGAAGACGGAGTGTGTTTTAGGTCCGTGTCCGCAAATAAAAAATAGTAATTATCATCATTATTATAACATTTATTAGTCTACATAGCCTTATGTAGAAGACGCTTTTATCCAAAAAAGGAACAAAGCAATTCGTCACATCTCATTCATAGTACAGGTTGGACAATAATAGGGCTAAGATTATCACAAATAAACACTCGATTATGTTCAATATCCAAGAGTGTGTGTGGAGTTTGGAGCACGCACTGGATGGCAGACAGGCGTGGGCGCGCCGTGAACACTTTCATTTTCCCATCAACAGGGGAATCAACTTAAAATACTCTATCATTTGTGGTTATACAGAACATAATAATACATTGTTCGCAACTACTTTTATTTGCGTAATGTCACAATAACAAGAAAACGTTGTGCTTTTAAAAAATAACATAAAACAATCAGGCGCGCTTTATGATCTTCGTGAACTGAAGCGCGAGAACTGAACTAGCCTAAAACTTTTAATGTCCACTTTAAAAAGAACAAATTCGAATCGTAAACTAATACCTTCTGATAATGTAATCCATATGAAAGGTGCAGTTCTCTCTAAAGGTGCATCCGGATCCGGCGATTATGTTTTTAGCTCGTTATTTTTTCAGACGCATTTATAATAACTCGCCTATAGCCTACAGCACTGTGGGAAAAATATCATGGTAACACTTTATTTCGATAGTCCACTTTAGACATTCTACTAACCATAAGTAACTTTTCAACTACATGTCAACTAACTGTCATTAGAGTATTAGTAGACTGTCAGCTTAATATCTGCTAACACTTTATTTTGTTGGTCCCCAAACAGACATTCAAATGACTTTAAGTAACTTGGCGACTACAAGTAAACTTATTCCCCTAACCCAAAGCCTAACACCTAACCATAACCTAACAGTCTACTGACAGTCTACTATAATATACTAATACTCTAATGACAGTTAGTTGACATGTAGTTGAAAAGTTACTTAATTTGAAAAGTTAAGTTAATTAGTACAACGTCTAAAGTGACTATCAAAATAAAGTGTAACCAATATCATAAATATCCATGTTCTAATTTGGCCTTAGAAAACCAGTAAAATCTAAAATCTAGTAAAAAAATCCCCCCCCCCCCCCCCCCCCCCCCATATTAATTTGTGAATATTTTAAATGTTTTAAAGGGGGCAAAAGGTCATAAATAAATATCTGAAAATTCGTTGAGATGTAGCCTAGGCTATATAGCGCAGCATTGGTGTGGTCAAACTAAAAAGATGGTGTTCAACTTTGCATTTTAAAAATACAACAACCGTTCATTTTTCGTTTTGCAATGGCTGTTTGGACATAATCAAGATCGAGTTCTTTATTAAATTCATTTAAAAAAAAGAAACAATAATTACAGGCCTCTCTAAACCTCAAAGAAATGCCATCAAGACATCGAAGCAGAAATAAGGAAGAAACACCAGGAACTCCGTGTCTTTTCCTGCCATTAATGCTTGGTTAACACACCACGTCTCCTTCCATTAATAATAATAATAATGTCTAGTGCGGTGTATGGCTGTGAAATAGGTAAACCTACCAATGTCCGTTGCCATGATTTTTGGAATGACTTATCGCGAGAGGAAAAAAAAGACGTTTTAGTCGCAAAACTTCGGTTAATGGAAACACCGTCATTTCGCAATAGTTTTTTATCGACATTTGGAAAATATCGCAAAAGTTTTGCGCAAATCTGTATTGGAAACGTGCCTACAGGCATGATAAATATATCTATATATAGAAAGCTTAAAATGTCTTTAAACGAAACAATTCAAAACGAAAAAGGCTACTCTCTGATTATGTAATCCATTATGTGCATTTCTCTCTGTAGGGCAGGCATTAACTACGGAGATGGTAAACTGATAAACGGTCCGTAAAGCACAAAATAATAGCGCAGTTTCGTTCTGCTTTCATTACGCTTGCTATTTGATTTTGGGCAACGGTGTGGTGGTCGCGCCGCGCATCTGAATGAAAATATTGCCCTAGTGTGCTGATCTCCTTTCTGTGTTTGCAGTGTAATGGAAGCTGTGGTTAGCCTTAACCCTAAGTGTGTGGCTGATCTGGAGTCTGATATTGATGAAGATATCGAACCACTGAAGAGCAAGTGGACTTCAAAAGAGGTGAGCTGAAGCACTGAGATGCATTTATATCATTAATAAGATAATATGTCACTTACTTGATTTAATTAATCGTGCTGCCATTCTGGACCACAGAAGAGTAGGACGCAAGAGAAGAAGGTTCAACATTATACTTCAGTGATAAAAAAAAATGAAACACGAATGTAATGTTTAAAGTCATTTTTACTTATCAGTATTGTTGAATTGGATCATCAAAGGTCAGTCAGCAAAGACACTGGTTAAAGTGAGATTAAAAAAATAAAGTATATTTTGTGTAATTTAACTTTTTTATGATTGCAGGTTTGTGTAATATTTTGAGTTTGCATTTCACTTTTTTATTTTATTTGAGGAATACTAAATCTGTTTTTGGGAAAGTGGGACTAAAATGTATAAAAGTACACTACACTACCTGCTACTGTAGCAGAGCGGGCATGTAATTTTTTTATTATTAGACATCAAAAAGAATGTATAATAATTCAAATCATGTATTATTATTATTTTTTAAATATATAGATATATGAAAAAATATATATATATTGATGGTATCATAAACTTTTTGTCAAATAATGTGCTGCACAATGAGCTTTACTGTTAAAATTAAAACATGGATTATTCCTTAAATTCAGTTTTGTCTAAAAAATTCATAATTTATTCGTATTAGTGTTAATGTATTATTACATCTGGACATTTCCTATTTTTACTGTACAACAGTAATATATTTCTGTCAAGTTAAACCGAACTTTTATTTTGACGGGTTGCCGTGAAGCCCTTTGAGTTTCTGTGTGTTTGTCATGATCATGATGATAGTTGCACAAATGAAGCGGTTAAATGATCACGAAGTGACTTTCAGAGTGGATCTAGAGCCTGGAGAGGAAGTTCAATAATTTCTGTCTTCATATAGGCAAAAAAACAGCGCAAGCGTCACACGTGTGTCTTCAGTGTATGTGTGTGTGTGGTAAATAAAACTGCGCGTCGGCTGCACAAAGATATTCATATTAACGGCTCTGGGCTGCACACTATTCATTCACACGGAACATACGATTCATACGAACAGGATTCGTATTTAAATAGTATTTGTGGTTTAATATTCACACACACTAGTCTATATCGCGATTTTTATTTCAAGTGTCCCTTTAAGCTTCTGATCTGATCATGTTCACGCACAGCGCACACAACGCCTCGGCACTCTCTCACGATTTCTCTCAATAAAGGGGAACACAAAATACTTCTTTGAAAAAGTAACTAGTTACTTGGGAAAGGTACTGTGATTACGTAAAGTAAAGTGTTACTTGTAATACGTTAGTCCCAACACTGCCTGTTTTCCCCCCCCCACCACTTTCTGATGCTATCATTATATTGCTTATAGTGTGCTACAAATCTTAGTGTTTGTATTTCATGGCTAACATTTAGGATGAAACCCTTGCGTCCCTCGTGGTGAGGTTTGGACGGGAGGAGTGGGAGCTGATTTCAGGCTACCTACCGGCAAGTGGTCTAATTTAAAGTGTTTCTGTTTATTCAAAAATATTCAAATGTTTACGTGGATATTTGTGATTGTACATATTTGATCAGTTGTACTCACTCTGGAATTGTGTGTTATTGCAGGGGCGCTCTGCACAGGAGTGTAAAAACAGATTCACAATGGTCTTAGACCCAGAGCTCATTAAAGGAACCTGGACCAAAGAAGAAGATGAAAGGGTGAGCACTGTTTGAGAGATATCTGAGCTGGACAAAAGACCACGGGTTTGTGTCACTTGTCCTGTATTTAAATGGCATGGCATTGATTGAGTGGCACAGTTTGCTTCTGTGTTTATCAGACACCAATGCACAACATGCATGGAGCATTCATGGTTATCCTCATTCTTTTCTTAAAGGACAACTCCGGCGCAAAATGAACCTTTGGTCTAATTACACATTGTTACCTAGTCAACCGGTATCTGAGATTTGTTTTCATGATTGCCGAATGTAAATAGTTTTATCTCTAAAAACAGTTTAGCCTATAACGCTAGTTCAATGCTAGTATATGGGGCATAGAGTAATGACAAATAAAAATCGCTTGTTATTACCACTAACAAGGCTCAAAATAGCCCCACAATAAAACGACAGCATAACAAGGGTCCCTACATTCAAACCGAAGCGTTGAGAACTTTGTCAGTGTCCACACAGTTTAATAAGAAGATATTTTATACACACAGTAAATTTCGCGAATACAGGAGGAAGCCATCTTTGAAAAATAGTCTCTACCAGTCGATCTACGAACGCCGATCCAAGTGCGCTGAACTGTGCAGAATCTCATATTATCCGTTGTTTCCAGAAGAAACACAAACACAAACCGTTTACTTGTCTTCAATATGTACACGTAGCCTACTGTTCGCGCTCACCTTATCACCTTATTCACATCTCACCAGCGCACTTGGATCGGCGTTCGTAGATCGACTGGTAGAGACTATTTTTCCAAGATGGCTTCTTCCTGAATTCGCGAAATTTACTGTGTGTATAAAACATCTGCTTATTAAACTGTATGGACACTGACAAAGTTCTCAATGCTTCGGTTTGAATGTAGGGACTCTTTTTATGCTGTCGTGTTAGTGCGGGGCTATTTTGAGCCTTTTTAGTGGTAATAACAAGCGATTTTTATTTGTCATTACTCTATGCCCTATATACTAGCATTATACTAGCGTTATAGGCTAAACTGTTTTTAGAGATAAAACTATTTACATTCGGCAATCATGAAAACAAATCTCAGATAACGGTTGACTAGGTAACAATGTGTAATTAGACTAAAGGTTCATTTTGCGCCGGAGTTGTCCTTTAAGCCGCCTTTCCACTGCACACGACATTCGCATACGATTGTCGTATTTCGCCCCCTGGTGTCAGTTGCACAGAACTTTGAAATTGGTCGTGAATCAACCGTTACCCTCGGATATTCACAATGGTAAAATTAATGATTTTAATGAATGTAATGCATGCATAAATATCTACACAAAACAAATGACCCTCAATACATCTCAAATAAAAACATAGTACATTTTATAGAGCTGATTAATATATTGATTTAATAATTATTAAATATTTTTTCTGCTATAGTTAATTATAACCAATATTTTACAGAAAGAGTGTTTACAGAAAAACATTAAAGAGTTAAAATATTTGTAATTCTAGCCTCGCACTCATAGTTTTTATTAGAATACATCACTTCCGGTTGGCCGGTCGCATACGGTCTAGCCGATATTTCAACGGATCCAAAGCTCAAATCGGATCCGAATTTTCCTCACACGCATATGATTGGAACTCCCCGCAGCTCCCGTACGACTGTCCATTGGAAATGAATGACTTCCGGTCTGACGGTGGTCGTTTGTCGTGTGCAGTGGAAAGGCGGCTTTAGAAGATGTAAGGATCATTTTGTCAAAGTTGTCTAACTGTTGTATTCTTTCTGTAGCTCATTCAGCTGGTGTCTTTATTCGGGGACAAGAAGTGGAGCACAATTGCCAAGCACCTGAAAGGGCGGCGGGGCAAACAGTGCAGAGAACGGTGGCATAACCACCTGGATCCGTCTGTGATCAAGACGCCCTGGACAACAGACGAGGACCTGCTGATCGTCAAGTGCCATTGTGTTCTGGGGTCTCGCTGGGCACAGATTGCAAAGTTTCTCCCTGGAAGGTAATTTAGAGCCTTTTTTATTTATTTATTTGATTCAAATAGTCTTGTTTGTATTGTTAAGTATATGTATTGTTATAGTTATTGTAAAATAGGGTTCTAACGGAACAATATTTTCACGATATTAATCATATATTTTCACAGTAGTAAACAATCAATTCTGATTATTATGATCAGTTAAAATGACTGTTGAATGAAAACATGTTAAACAAATGTTGTTGTTTTTTTAAACAAATGCTTTATTATAACAAATTTGAAACTATTTGTTTGTTTTGTTTATACAGATTTCAATAATCAAAAACCTGCCTGATCAGTTAAATGTAATAATTGATTATGGATTAGACTAACAACTCATTTTAGTCATTAATAATTTATAAAAATTAAGAACCGTGATATATCATCATACCGTTACAACCCTAATGTCTAATAGTCTTATAGTATTGTCATCTATTTTATCTTTATTTGTACTGACTGTTTTAATGTGAGGCATTGTGCTCAGTACAGTTTCCTACTGGTTACATCTGGTGATGTTTGACAGGACTGATAACTCCATAAAGAACCATTGGTATTCAACCCTAAAGCGTAAAATGGACAAGGGTGACTATAAGATGGAGGATGTGGATCTGAGTGATCTGGGAATCTACCTGACGCTAAAGGAAACCTCTGCTTCCACCAGTCATGAAAAGGTAATCTATATCCTTTACCCTGTGCTGTCGTGCTAATATCCAGTTTGATTAGCACTAGATCTGGCAGAATTCTTCATTTGTGTTAGTTTATCAGACTGAATAACTGTGGTCAATAGGGCTTGGAGTTCTGATGATAATATTGTATATATCGATGATATTTCACGAGTGGGCGATGCGTGTGGATTTCAGCAGTCAGATATTCATATATTCTAGTTAGCTCTATTAGTATAGTTAGTATAACCATTAGGGTTGGGTATCGAGAATCGAGTATCGATTGGAACCGGGACTAACTTTTCGTTTTTCCCGGAATCGTTCAAAAGTTAAAATTTCGATTCCTAGTTTCGATATTCACAGTCCGCCGAGCGGAAGAAGAAACCGCTGAACAACACCAACGAAAAAGCGTCTACCGGAAGTGTTGGCATAACCGCGCGGGTCGAACATTAGTAGCTTATGTCAGCGGTCCAAAGTGTGGCTTCACTTTTCTAAAAATAACGAAATCTCGGCAAAATGCTAAATTTGTGACAAATTAAAAAATTTATTGAAGTATTTCCTTCAGAAAGGAGTATTTTCTTCAGAAAGACCGTTGGTTAGCAAGGTTAGCTAAACTTTTTTGACCCTGTCTCTTAAAAGAATCGGAATCGAGAATCGTTAGGAACCGGAATCGAAACAAGGGATCGGAATCGGAATCAGAATCGTTCAAATTCAAACGATACCCAACCCTAATAACCATACACATCTTTGTTTAATGCTCTCCGTTTACTGCATAGCACCGAAAACACTTAGATGTAAAGGTATTACGAATGAGATGCCGGGTGTGTGTCTTTATCATCACACATGCAAGATCATAGTGGTCGACCAATACAGGTTTTTGATGGTCGATGTCTTTGAGAGCAGGGTGGCCAATATATAACTTATAATATATATATGGTTTAGAATTATTTTAATAAATTAGAAATTAATATGAATGCTGCTTATTAGGGCTGTCACTTTACATTCGAAAATTGATTGCACAATGGACAAGTTTCGAAAACAAAAATAGGGAATCGATTTTTCTTTTCTTTTTTTACTGAAAATGTGTTTTTTGTGATTGTTGCGGGCAAAGATCATTGATTATAACCCTTTTTCTTTAAAAATGTGGTGGAATATGCGGGATATTTATGCAATGAAATTGCGGGAACTAGCAAAAACTGCGGTTTTAAAAAGTGATTCTCCAACACTAAGAGCGGTTTGGCCAGACGGTGGAAAAGCTGCTATTGTAATTGGGATAAATTAGAAGTAAATGTGTTTGCCTGCACTTGTGATTTTAATGTTTGATTTTAATCCACAGTCAATAAGTGCATTGGAGCCGTTGCCCAGGGTGAAGCCGCTGAAGAGGAAGGCTTCAGACAGAACCCCGAAGGCCGACAGTCCCCCACTCTATCCGTCCTCACCCTCTTACTCAAGGAGTCCTTCCATCGTGGACCCGCAACACAAAGCGTATGTAGATGATGTTTTGCAGATGATTGCTGAGGACATGCTCCCGCTAAACTTCACTGAAGGGTGTGGGTTCCGTAAGTTCATGACTGCAGTGGGTCCTCAACACCCACAGCTCTCGCAGCGCACGATCGCTTCACAACTGTACAGCTCTGTGGAGAAAACCATCAAGCCACGGCTGATCCAGCAGCTCAGGAAATGTGTGACGCTGAGCGGGGGCCGTAATGTGGTGCACATCACCGCTGATATCTGGGCTAGTGAACACACAGAACCTCTTCTTGCCGTACAGATGCATTTTCTTGATGACGACTGGAGCGTTCACAGCAGAACTGTGGCTTTTCGCCATTTGCAGTGTAATCAGGTTACAGCACAGATCGGAGCAGAAATCGAGTCGGTTCTTCTAAGCTTTGGGCTTTTCCCGCATAACATCGGGTACAGCATCATCCATGAGGCCAAGAACACTATCGCCACTCATGATCTGTTCTGCGACTACAAGATCATGTGTTCTGCGCAGAAGAGCGACCCCGATGAAGAGGAGTTATTGAGTTTTCTGGATGATCAGGTCACCATAGATGATTTCTCTATAGCGGAGATATCCTCCAGTAAACACCTGGATTGCATCACCTCCCTCCTGCATTGCGTGATCAAGGAGGCAATAAAGAAGTCCAGAGTTGTGGAGCGGATACTGTTTGAGGTGCAAAGCGTGGTGTCTTTCTTCCGCCGCAGCGCCTACTGGCTAGAGCTTCTGGCTCAGAAATGCAAGCTCTCGCTGTTTGGCACGTTCGGCACAAGCGGCTACACCTGGAACTCCACAATCAGCATCATCCGAGAGATAATGCAGGAATCGGTGTGGGACTCGGTGATGAGCCTCGTGGATCAAGCCCACGCAGAGGTGAACAGCAGCCACATGTGTCCACCTGTGGTCCGTGTTACACGTGAACAGGTCGTGGAGTTCGTTGGTTTCATGGAGCCTTTTGAAGAGGTGGTCCAAGTGCTTCAGGAAGACGGCGTCACCTTGTCCCTCATCATTCCCACCATCATTGGACTTGATAAAACACTTGAGAGCAAGACCACAAAGTTGAGCTTTTTTTGCTCATCCCTGCGTTCTGCTCTCCGCTCTTACTTCCAACCTCTTATTTTGCGGAGAGATTTGATACTAGCCACAGTTCTGGACCCGCGAATCAAGCTCCAACCCTTTGACAATGGAAAAGAGAAATTCAAGACTAGCACACTGTTCACCCCTTCCAAACAACGGGCATCTTTAGTTGTGGAGTCAGCGCTGAGTGAAGCCGCTAGAGAGACCGGGCGTGATGAGCCGGAGCGTGTTGACATGTCTGAGCTGACTCAGTATCTGTCAGAGCCCTTGTCTGAGGAAGATGTTTCCGTTCAAAGCTTCTGGAAAGAAGCGACCCGCTTCCCTTGCCTGCGAAGCATCTGCCGCAAATGGTTGGCCGTCCCAGCATCCTCGGGGGGTTTTAAGAGACTGTTCCCCCTGGCGTGCTCTATTGTGCGGGCCCGCAGGAGCAAGCTCACGCAGCACACGGCCGAGCGACTCCTGCTCTACCGGGAGCATCTGAGCAAGAGCGCGACAGCGGAGGGGGACACACTCCGCTCTCTGCCTTGAGGAGCGGGGAGATTCGCGGATATGAGATGTACTTTTTTTTTTTATTATTCAGTGGATTTTTTTTTTTTATTGACTTTTCATGAGCATGCCACTGACAATAAACCTGAAACTTGAATCATTTTGAAACTTTTTACATCTGGAACTACAGTGGTTGTCGTATTGTTGTTTCACAAAATGTACCTCTCTATGATTCTGTCAGGAACGTGATCATCCTGAAGCGGAAATAAGTGTGAACATTAGTTGAGAAACACTGTTGACTATGTCTTTATCATAGCTGAAGCAAAATAATGCCAACGACAAGGGAAAAACAAAAAATGAACAAACAATACAAGAGTTTACAAGCAGGATTTGATTATTTTGTCACCAGACAAACAGACTCTCAAACTGTCCTGTTACAATAGCTAACATTACAACAGCATAACTGTGGTTCTGTGAATCCGCTAAACCGCTGTTACTCGTGTGTGGATCAGAAGCACCGTCTCTGCGTTTGCTTTCAGGCCTTCCCGTTCTCTAACATCTCCAACGCTGGAAAGCTTCCCTAATATTACCGCAGGTCATAAAGCACTTGCCTGATCATGACCTCCTTCTTCCAGTGATAATCCTCTGAGCTTTCCTCTTTTGTAATTAGGGAAGTGCAGGACTAGTCGACTAAACGGTACAGCTGCTACTAGTCGACACTAAAAACAACAGTCCACATTTAGGTTGCCGTGTGTGGGCGGCAGTCGGCTATGAAGTACCTGCTGTTTACTTACATTTTAAATAAATAAATAAATGATAAACCGTTTACTGGTCCCCCCTTCTTCCCTGCACCTTCAACTTTGTTATGTTCATATTTAAAAGCATTTACAATGGCATGCCCATTTTTGGGTGACATCGTAGAAGATGAAGCACTTATATTGAGAAGGCCTTTCAGACGTGAAAATTGACCCATTGGCTTTTCCCGACAATTACCTGCAAGAGCGTTAGCCTATTGCTTTTCTGGGGGTGGCATCCGCTACCTGTGCAGACTGTTGGGTCCCAAAATTTGATCAGACACTCACCAGTCTGCAAAATGTTCTTATATTTGATCTTGACCTGTTGTCAGGTCCTCTTTGGTCCAGTCATGTTTGTTCTGTATAAATATTGATAGGATGTGTAACAAAAAAGAGTAACATAAATTAATCAGCTGTCAGATTCACACGTTACAACATTGACTTCCACTGAGCAAAAGACAAGTAACTCCTTGAATGTATAATTATGACGTTTTCAGTAGCGCATTCAGTCGATCCGCTATTGTTTGCCATGCCCTTTCTCGCTCCTTTATAATAGCGGCAGGGCAGTGTTTCCTTTTCTGAGTATGATGTGCTTCAATTCCTCGCAAGTCTCCATTAAAGGATGTTGCTCACTTGGTGTGAAGTATGCAGTGTTGGGTAAGTTACTCTAAAAAAGTAATTAATTACTAGTTACTAATTACCTCTTCAACAGTGTAATTAGATTACTGTACTAATTACTCTCTCTAAAAAGTATTTAATTACTTTTAATTACTAATTACTTTCAAAGTCCCATATCAATCTCAACCAGCTGAATAATACTAGGATAGACATGAAGCTGTTTTAATGCTTTCAAATAAATACTATAAAATTGCATGAATTATCCTTAAAATGACCAAGGAGGAGAAGATTACATTATAAAAACATACTTTTTAGCATCAGACAATACATTTTGATATTAAACCCACTATTGTTATATGTCTGATCTCATGACATTTCACACTTTTTTCATACATATTTTACAATAGTTCATACGAATTTGAACAAGTGCGGTCGTAATATTTAGACACCTCATAAAATGCATACGAATCGCTGTGAGATCGTCTTGATCTATACACAGTATTTACCTCAATTACATCAGAAGTAACTGTAATTACAGATAAATTAAGAGTAATCCCATACTTTACATTTTCAAGGGAAAAGTAATTAATTTACAGTAACTAATTACTTAGTAATTCAATTAGTTGAATAAAAGAAGTATAAGTAGTAATTAGAAGTAGAAGTATTACTACTAATTAGTAATTAGTTACACCCAACACTGGAAGTATGGCGCACGCAACTTATCCATTGTAGCATCAATGAATCTGTGATGGACTGTGGTCTCATGAAGAAAGCTGTTGACACCAGAGCCCGTCTAACCCTTCTTTTACTGTCTATGCGTCTAACGGAGAGCCTTGGCACTTCCTATTAGCCCCATTGTGTATCATCTTGGTTACAGTTCCATTAGAATTCCACTGGAGGTGATCACGGGCGAGTGCAGAATGAATGGGAGTCTATGGGGCTAAACGGCTAAATGTGTCTCTTTCACCTGCTTGTCGTTAAATCAACATAGATTTTATTGTTGATTCCGCAAGTTCAATATAGATTATAGGCCAAAAGTCGAATGAACGAGTACTTATGTCCTTTTGATTTCTTACAGGTTAGGGTGTTGTTGGCCAGAACACGCTAGCATTCTGCTATTGTGTGACGTCATCACAGTTTTGAATGGATTTTTAGAACAGATAAGTGAACTTAAAAATGCAATTTTCAGCTGAGTGTATTATCTTAGCCCTCCCCTTTGAATGCAACTTTAAAATTACTTGACAAAAAATTACTTCCCGAGAAAAGTGGATTTCTGGGGGTGAAACCCTAGCCTGGATGCCAGCCCGAACTCCGCCCACAACATTTTTTGGTCAGGAAGTTCGGTCTGGACTCGATCCATTGAGGAGTAATTATGATCAGTCAAAAAATGATCGGGCCAATCAAATTGCCAGGGCGGGCTTTATACGATGATGGACAGATGATCTGCAAGGACGTAATCACGTTATCAAAGAGCGCTTGTCAAAGATGACTGCAGCTGGAGAATTGAGATGTATAGATTCCACTGTCGCGTCTGTTGTGAAATAAAACGACAGCGCATTCATTTTAATAGACAAACAGAGAACTGCAATCAAGGCATTTGTCGATCGGAAAGATATTTTTGGGGTCCTTCCTACATGATTCGGGAAAAGTGTAACTTATCAGCTGGCTCTGACGGTCGTTAAGAAGATGGGACGTAATGAAAAGCCTGTGGTCGTTGTGGTTTCTCCTTTGGTGGCACTCATGGAGAAGTAAGTAAAAGAAGCAACACTCGTTATTTAACTTCTAAAATAAATAAAGTTAGGCTACGTTCTGTATTTGAAAACTGCGCTATGCAAAGGAGTTGACTTACTGCGTTGCTCTGATTGGTTGTAGGTCTACCGACTATCCAATTGAGTGCAGAGGTTTTTTTTTTTTTCCTGGTTCGGTTACGACACGCCTCATAATCAAAGCCCAACAGAGGAGTTTTCTCTCTTGAATATGAGTATGACGAAGTCAGGCTAGTGAAACCCCATTGACTCCCATTGCACGCGAGCGCCCCCGCATGGACAAAGACGTGTTACTGCAGCCAGTCCAGAAACCGGAAGTAACCAGCCAGTGCCAATTCTCTTCAATTAGACATTCTCTGTTGACACCCACTTATCTGAATTACTTACACCTGGCTTGATATAGCCACTCCTCCTGAGCCTGGTTTGGCCTTTGTGAAACTGATAAAGCCAAGATGCTTTAGGTCACACTAGGTCAAGCCCAGCTTTATCTCTTATCCTGGATTTCTAAATTCTGCTTTTGTGAAACAGCCCTCTGGTAACAACTGGAGGAAAACATAACTGGGTCAAGAATCGAAGGACGATTCAATGTTTTGGGGTTTTAAGATCTCTGACATGATATTTAAAAGTAAATAGCTCAAAAATTATTTTAAAATTTTAAAGTACATGGTATATCTCAAAAAGTAGGTGGTATAGAGTTCGTACTGAAATGTGATTATTATATTAACAAAATAGCCATTAAACTTGCAAGTTTCCACAAACACGCATTACTTTCCTGGACGCTTGTGTATAGTCATAATTCCCCCCATAAATGTACCATTTGGAATAATAGAGACAGGGGTTAGAAACCAATCAATAATTTTTTAAGAACTGGTTTGAAAAAGGGAGTTATTGTGGAACAGTTGATCAAAAAGGATGGTATTTTATACAATTATACTGAATTTGTTCATATTTGTAACTTTTCAGTTGATCCAGTATTCTTTGGTTTTACATGCAGTTCCCAAAAACTTTAGAGGCTACTAGAATATAATAATAGTTTTAAATTACTCTTTGCAAACAGTTGAAGAATGTTCTTCTATTAAGTTGCAGGGCAAGGATTTTACAAGGTTTGGATGTAATAATGTATCTTGTGTGTTCCCCTCTTCTATCTAAATGTATATTGCTGTTACTCACTGGGAAAAACATCTTGATCTGAGTCAAATTTGGATGAAGCCTTATAAGTATTACATCACAAATAAAGTGAAAGAGGTTTCATAACATGTTTCATTGAGGTTTCCCAAGTCACTTGTGGTACAGCTTTTTAAAGTGACCATGGAAGATATTTGTGTTTTTGAAAAGAAAAATCCCTTGAAACTATTAATCTATTTTAGAGTGTCCCAAGAACCGAATATTTAGGAAAGAACTCAGTAATGTTTTTCATTTGATGGTGATACAAATATTTTCTTTTTATTTGATTGAATTATTATACTTGCCCGTACTATATTCATAAATTCATATGGAATGAAAAAATGCCAATCTTGTAACAATTTCAAATTTATGTTAAAATTAATTTAGAAACAATCGTAAAAAGTAAAAACTTGAAAGCAAGGAAAACTACACCGCTGTTTAATAGTGCTAAAGGTTTCCTGTAAAAGGCCTTTTTTTCTTCCTTCGTTTTCCCCCTTTTGTTTACCCCTGACATGTATTGTTATACGTATTCATGTGTGTGAATTATGTTTTGTTCTTATAAAAATGCATTAAAAAATGAAACAAGTGGTGGAAAATGGTCAAAACCCACACGATAACAGAAAACAGTTCTTGCTGTGCCTTTAGTTTAGATGTCAAAAATGTAATATAAAAAGGCTGGACTGATATTTCTTCTTTGAAACTTGAAATATACACTGAAATTCGAGATAAAATCAAAATTGTGAGATATGCACTCGAGATACCTTGTTGTTTTATTACATCGAGTGCCACTGCAGAACTTGTGGACTCCACCCACAATACAAGTCATCGGTGTCTGCAAACACAGTCTATTAATAATGAGGAATAACAGTTTGTGGAGTAGGCGAGTTGGAGTATCATTGCCTACTGGAGTGCAGTGAGAAGCGGTCGGACAAGGCAGAATAGATGGTAATTGCTAACCAACTAACTCCAGGTGGCAGTAGTGCAAAATTCAGACCGCGAGCTGCCGTTACAATCCGAAGAAGAAGAGAAGGAGAACTGTCATGGCCGGCGTTGGGCTGAAGATGTGTCTGCTGCTGCACCTGCTCGTGTTCAGCTGGTATATATTCACTATCTGGAGTAACTGCACCCTGCAGACCTCAGACAGACACCCCGGTGTGCGTTCATACGGAGGCCGCTGGAAGTATCTGACCTTCATTAATCTGGTAGGAGTGGTTCTTCACACACCTTTGCCTCTGCCGTCCGTTATTATGACACGCCGGTGACGTCAGGCAGGCTTTTGACATGCGGGTTCAAAGCCATTAAACTCAAACAACGCATTTTTATTTTATATACGTTAATAAAACAAAAAACGCCTTTGCATAGCGCATGGCTTAATGATAATAAATCAAATAGAAACTTATTTATTAGACCTATAAATCAATTAAACAATTTAGCTGTATGATTATGATATCAAATTAATTGTAAAATGTTCAGACAAATGTCAC